TGAAACCAAAATTAAGGACAAGCTTTCCTAAAGCTTGTATGTAAACCACATCTCAAGAGAAGCCGGAGTTATACTTTAAAATGAAAAATTCTTTCAAATTTGAAAATGTTCAACATCTAGGTTTTGATTTGTTTGTTTGGGGATATCTTTGTGATTTTGCTAATAACAACAGAAAGTTTGCGGATGTAAACAGAAAGCACGGGCGAAAGCATGTGGCAGGCCTGAGCACCAGCAGCAAGTTAAAGACACAGCAGGTACTGCCCCCTCTCAGGCCAGAGTGCAGCCTGCGCCCAGCCTGGAACCGGCACCCTCACAGGCACCCTCACGCTCTCGGCCCCAACACTCCACAGCTCCTTGACTGCAAGCTTCTCTCTGGGTCTTTCTTCTCACAAATGTTTCCCAGTTTCCTCAGTTTAACCCAAATCTCTCTCCTTTCCAATCCTCACAGACACAAGACTCCTCCACCCCACCCCCTCATTAGTGAGACAAACTATAGCAAATTTCCAGAAATCCCGTTCTGGTAACTATGTCCAAAAGCGCTCTTTGCACCCTCCTCCCCACATCTCAAATGCCAGAATTTTTCTAAACCCACCTCTAAAAACGGATTACACAAAAGCGAGAGAAGAGACATTTCTCGCTCGCCATAAACTCGTACTGTGTCACTCACAGAGCCGTATTATTGTAAATCTGTAACTTCAATTCAGATTATAATAAATAATACATAGCTAATCACATTACTTTTGCCTTCACACATTGTGGTGCCTGAAGTGTTCAGGTACAAAACTGGCTTGTACCTTCCTTTCATTTGTCCCTCTTTTCTCTCTCTCACTAGCCAGCCCCTTCTACCAAAATAAAATAAAACGAAAAGACCAAAGACTTGAATTCTCTTATCAGCAATAAAAAGTTTTTGCATTTGCCTGCTATAAGTGCACTGCTATGAAAAGTCACTCTGGCCACTTCAACCCTAAAAGGAATCTGATCAGAGCGGCTCTACATTGTCTAGAGTAATTTCACTCCTGTTTTGTGCTCAAGGCCCAATACCCTCGGAATTAATTCCCTGCAATACACAGCCTCCTTCCACAGCGCCCTCCCGCCACCACCTGCAAAGACACACACACACACACACACACACAAATTACTCTCTAAAGCTTTAAAGGGGAAAGAGAGGAGTAGAAGCCCCATAACATAATTGCTATATTAAAAAGAAGTGGCAGGCAAGAATAATAAAGGAGGGTGTCAAAAGTGAAATACAGTAGTAGACTAAAAAAAAAAAAAAAAAAACTACGGTTCTGTGATGGGGGTGTTAATTGAACACAGAGAGAAAAGGAAAGAGAGAGAACAAAAGGGTGTTAAGGAAGCAAAAATAATTTTTTAACCTCCTCCAGTGATTTGATTTAACTTCAGCGCAGATAATGCACAGAGGAAAACTGGCTGAAAAGTGCCATATACAGCTATTAGGTTCTAAAATTAAAAACTATTCACAATTACAGCTATTCATTGCTATCTATAAATATTCTCCTTAGTAAATGGCGCCTAATTCTTTTTTGTATTTTCCTAATTTTTAACCCTGCACGATTTTGACACAGAAGTAAAAAAAAGAAGAAATTTTTAAAACATATTCAAGGTGTTTTTAAGAAATGCAATTATGTATGACTTTTTTTCTTCCTTCTTTTCCATCCCACCAACCCCACATATACACATACGTACAGCGCAGCCTATTGCTAATATGTCAGAAGGCAAGGAATGTTTCTTTAAAAAACAAAAGAAAATGTGTTATTACATGATTTAAAACCCTATATTCAGTCTCTATGCTCCCAAAATGAGCAAGAAGATAAAAGCCACATCTGAAATACACATTGCTGTGGGTTTTGACAGGGTTTTTCTTGCTGCTGTTTGAGATTTGCCGCTTGAGCATTTTGCTGGCATCCTTTTTTTTTTTTTTAAACATTTATTTAAAAAGCAACAAGGTATCAAAATAAAAACTACCCACATTCTGAAGCAAGAAAGACACATGGGTTCTTTTTTTTCATATCCCCACAGTAATTTCTGACTTAAATACCTATCAATCAACTGTAATTTAGATGGTGCTGCCTATTTTGCGTGGTGTGCGCGCATGTTTCTTTAAAGTTCCAAAAGGTTGGTAAGACAATATTAGCTGGTTTTTCTATTTGCTTCTAAGTCTTCCAACAAAAATCTTTAACAAAAAGAAAAGAAAAAGAACAAAATAGCAAAAGCAGCACATGAATACAATTATCACGTTCCTCTCAGAGTCCTCCCTTCCTTATACAGGACCTAGGTGAGCAAAAGTGTGAGCTTTGGGTCAGAAAACAAACAACAAACCAAGCCCACCTTAAATCAAGCAACTTCAACAGTGCTTGAGAGAGCTCAACAACACTCCTCAGATGAGAAGGGCTTGAAAGTACCAATAGGAAAAGTCCCAAAACGACGAAGGAATCTAGGTGAACTGATCCATTCAAGCAATCTTTTCACTAGCTCTGTATTAAGAAAAAAAGCTCCAGCAACTTTTACAGACACGTTGTTACAGACACTTTGTGTTTCTTCGACACAACAACCGCTGGCAGATATGCTGGTGTGTAGAATGAGGGTTCGGCAGATCTGAGTAACAAAGTAATCGTGCTTTAGAATCAAAGCGTTCTTTTCCACACACCACAGTTGACTCGCACCTTTAACCCAGAGCACTCAGCATTCCATGAGAGGTTTCTTCCTTCCTTCAATTCCTCCGACAAGTTGAAGAATAAGAGGGAGCTAGGCCTTTTTATTTTTTTCCAACTTTCACCCAGGAGTGCCCTCAATCCAAAACTGTGTGTGTGTGTGTGTGTGTGTGTGTGTGTGTGTGTGTGTGTACTTCCTCCTGAACACAGGGGCAATGATTCTTACCATTTTCGATTTACATTATTTGATAAACACATTTTAAAAATATATTAGGCTAGAGACAAAACACAATACCTTAATTTAGATTTTAAAAAAAAGCAAAAAACAGAATTTTCCAAACATGAAATGTTGTGACAGAAATTTAAAGAATAAAATATGCAGCCCAACCCTAAAATGCACCTTTAGAATGTTAAGTCTGACCAAATACTACCACTTCCTATCACTATACTTCAGCCAATATGAATACTGAGCAAACTCTTAACCCACACCTGAACCGGATCTCCATTCACACTGACCCACTTTGATCTACTGCCTCAGTAGGTTTTAATTAGGAGCTTGGAATTAAACACCTTGGCCACAATGTACATTTAAGTGGCCTGACAGGCTTCCTTTTAATAAAAATCTGATACAGTGTCTTCGAAAACAGACTCTCTTTAGCCTGGGTGATCATATATGCCTTTTCATTTTGATTCTACATTTTATGAATCAGAGTCAGCAAGAGCTGATACTCGTTTGGAAACAAATTTCAACAAACCAAATATTCAGAGCAAATAAGCATCGGAGATCAAAAAAGAAAAAGAGAAGGAAGAGAAAAGGAGAGAAGAGGGAAAAATATACATACACTTCGGTTTCCTGCTCTGGGCTAATAGGAAGGAAAAAAAAACTAAGAAGTGTGACAAACTGAAAAAGCTCTTTTGATATTTGTATACACAATCCATAAATCTCTTAAAAGGTGTCTCACCGCTCAAATAATGCAATTAACAGCTCTGAAATAAGGTTTGGCTTTGGCAAGGCTACCTGGAGGTCTTAGAGGTCGGTCGGCACATCACCGGCTCAGGTGCTTTGTCTGAGATGTTAGGCACGACACAAACAACATTCCACAAAAGAGCCGCTTACTAATTTTACATGCATTTCAAGACCCAAGTAATTACATATTCAATCAACGGTCACATCTTGAAACTATTTATTATTTAAAGGAGACCCAGAGCCAGCTCTCAAAAGAAAGCCACCCTGTATGCCCTCTCCCCCCTTTTTATGTGTAACTATCAATGTATATCAACCGGGCATGCAATCATATTTATTGTCACTTTCATTCATGTCATGCCCTTGCTTATATGGTTTAGATATGAATTATTGACTGTTACACTCCTTGTTGTAAAAAATAAATAAATAAATGGGATGTCAGGTACTTTGCGTTGCTCTAAAGCGAGCGAGTCAGAGCCCAGCAGAAGCTCCCGCTTTATATAACCACCTCCTGTCCCTCATCTTTATGCCCCGGTTCCAAATTGCCTTCTCCGCTTTCTTCTTAAAAGGGAGAGATTTACCCACTTTGGAAAATTAAGGAATAAAATAAACAAACAAGAGGATGTTGTTAAATGTCCTTCCCAGAGCATCTGTTGTTTAAGAACACCTCTGATTGATGACTGCTATTTTTTAATTGTTGCTTTAAAATTTAAATGCCCTCCTGGGATGTGTTATAAGTGTGTTAGTCTCCGATATAAGGTCTAGAAAGTGGAAAAACAACAGAATGAGTGATCTCGTGGCATTATTCGCTGCTAAATCCAACCATTCTGCCTGCTATAAAATCACAGGGCACTCAAGTACCGATAACCTAACATTGTAGAGCGCTTTCCACAAAGGTAGCTGACAACACTCTCTGCTTTAGAACCTCTAGTCTGCTGCTTTGTGTGATTACAAGAAAAAAAGGAAAGGAAACTTTAAACAGTTCAGCTTCCTATGCCCAACTCCAAAAAATTTACAGTTTTAAATATGGGGCAAAATATACTTCTTCAGGATATGGACTTTTACTTTCACACTTTTCCTCAAAGGCACACCATTTTATAAATGTCCCTTCAGAACCTATATTTCAGTCCCAATTTCAAGCAGGCCAATAGTTAAGGAAAATAAACCCGTAATGCCTGATAACTGTCAAAGAAACGTGGTGCTTTCTTTTAAAGGAAGCAGGGCTAGGCATCCAACTGGAATGTATGACCAATCCTGATAGTATGTTTATTCTGAAATTTTAATAAACAATGAAGTTAGCAATTGCTGTTTAAGTGACCCAATTGGCCAAAGAAAATGCTTAAATGTTGGAATGTCATTCCTACCTGTTTTTTCTTTGATTTCACACAACACATTAAACAAGGCAGGCTTCATTCTGTGGCAGTTTAAAGCATGTTTTCTGCAAGAAAGAAACAACAACATGATAGCTTAGGTGGACTTTCAAGATCAAGCTGCTGATAATGCCAAGGGAAAGAAAAATTTGAACATTTAGCCAAAATTATATCTCAAGCATAACTCTGTGGCATGCTTCATCTGTTTTTAAGACTTAATATACAGAGCCCCGCCATAGAAAAAGAAATAATTAGCAGGGAGAGTAGGGATTTAACTACAGAACAGAACTAACCTAAATTACGCCCATTTAGGCTGAGTTGTTTTTTTCCTTAAGTAGTTTAATCAAAGTGGAATTCATAAACCAATAATCCTATCCAGGGTAATGAATACAGCAAAGCCAAATACGTGGGTTTAACAGTTTTGTATAATCTGTGCAAACCACCGAAGCCTAGGAGCTGTCTGCCTCTTGGTCTGTGTGTGTGTTTTCAAATTTAATTCATCCATGTGTTCGAATTCATTCCGCAGATGCCCCTGTATTCTCATAAACACAAGATGCTTGAAAGGTCTTCTGAGTAGAACTGTCAATTTATGAAATTTTCAGTCCCCAAGTTAAAGAGTATGGAAATGCATTGCCAGGGGGCAAACATACCCATATGGGGAATAAATTCATTTCTCTATGTTCACATTATGTCTCTTGTGCACACACTGCTTATTTGCAGGTGTTGAAATTCAATTATTTACAATTAGAACCTTGCACCCATTGGGGAAAAAAATAAATACAATGCTGCCTTTTAGATCAGTGATTTACCTGGTTTTCTTATGTGTGTGTTTGTATTCAGAATGTACTTGAGGAACAAGACAATACCTTTCCCTTTATTTTACTATATAGAATCACTTAGCAAAAGGATATTGTTTTGGAAACAAATACTGATCATATCAGCCATTACTTAAGGGAATTCTGTTCACTAAAATTAATGTGTGAAGATAAATAGAAACCCTTGGCATTCAAAACACATGCAATTCTTTTTAATTCCTTTTAAAGTTAAAAAATAGACACATATTCTTATGAAGAATAGAAACCAGAAGCATGTTTTATGTACTGTAGAGCAAAGGAGTAACCAGCTCAAAATTCAAGAGAGTATACAAAGGAACATATACATTATATCTAAAATATTAATGGTTTACTTAGTAAATTAAGAAGGTGTGACTGTGAAAAGTAAAAAAGGACATAGTATTGGCTAAGTAGTTCCATCATTGTCTAAGCAAAAAGAAAGCTAGGTGGTCATTTGGTCAGCTCTCAATGTGGGGTGAGAGAAGGAGGAGAAAAGACTTTTTTAATGTACTAAGGACCTCTTTTTGGATCTTTAAAAATAGTTTTCATTAACTGTATTCTTATACATAGGTCCAAGTGCAAACAAAAAATCTCGTATGGCTTTATAGAAACATTACATTTCCATAGCATACAAACGGGGTTAGAGAGGAAGAATAGAAAATTTCCTCATCCCAAAATTGTGTCTGATCTCTCTCAGCACCGAGGCCAACAGCCATTAAAAGGGGGAACCCACCAAGCCAGGGTTGGCCTCGGTTTCACAAAAAGGATAGGGCCTAAACATCAGAAAAGTGGTGGCTATCCATTCCCACTGGCCCTTTCCACTTCACAAACTTGTTATTAAACCTGTTTATTGGTATGTCTGAGTGTATTTTTCTGGAACAATGTAATGGAGAAATCTGTTCCAATTCAAAAAAGACTTGTCAGTGGGAAATCTTCCACTTAGCAAACCTATTAGCTTTTCCTCAGACAATAAAATTCAAAAAGAACATCTATTAAATTTTGAAAACTTTTCTCCATTTTTTACAAATTTAGAACAGGTCGAGTATTTGAACATTCCCAAGTTTTCACGCACCCGTAAACCTGAGTACTTTTCAGTTTACATGTTGCATGCGCTTGCAGCTAAAATAAAACTAATTCATAACATCCATGCTTTTAGCTGCTCCTTCTCATTTTCTTAACTCCAATTCCTCTCTCCCTTAGACACAAATACACAGAATGACATCTTCTCCATATAACTAAGTCACTTGAGGTCTAGGAATTGTGTATATATGTTTAAAAGATTTAAAAGAAACACTTCTGAGATTTAACAAAGCTGGGTAATTACAGAGACATATGTGATCATTAGATTTTTAAAATTCTTTCCAGACTGGCCTTCGGCAAACTGTTTTTGGGTTGCCACTTAGCCTATGTGTTATTTTCACTGGGAATTTACTGTAAAATCCTAGAGTAGAGAATTATAGGTCTGGTGGTGGATTAAGCTGAGAAGCTACACAGCTTCCATATTATGTTTCCTTAATGAAGATGTTCATGGCCTATAGTATTGAAATATATAAAATTCACATATGCTTTCATTTCTATTTAGTTGCCTTCTAAGTGGTCCTGGAGGAGGCATGGAGTAAGAAGCATGCTTCATTTTTGTCCCCCACCCCTTTTTAAAGGACCATACATAGCTGTCTGTGTCACCGAAGGTTAGTAAACCAACTCAAATTAATAGATAATAAAGTTCAACTAAACACCTGAGTCTCCTGAAACTAACAAATATGTCTAAAAGCAAAATTATCTTTTCTTTCTTTTTTTGTGAGGCAGAATTAAGTGAATGCAAAATATCCTCAGGATAGCTGACAACTCCTGACAAAGAAATGCCGTTTTGTTTGTTTTGCTTTTTAGGGGAGAGAGGGAAGGAAAAAGGATAAAAATTAATTTTGGAGTGGTAAGTCAAGAAAGAAAATCAAAAGTCGCTGAATTAGGCAGGGAGTCAACTAAATTTGCAAATAAAAGTGTTGTTGGGACATTTTATTGTGTAAGACTACTGAGTCCCTCAGCAAGAAGGCATGGAATGCGGTTCAAAACTTGACAATTCTGCTCTGATACTTTTTTTAAAGCAGTAAAAAAGTGCCGAGGGCCGCTTTAGGATCAGCTGGCAACATTTTCGTCGTTGCTGAGTGTTAGTGTGAATACATATTAGTATCTCTATATTCACTGTCTCTCTCACACACTCACACACTATATATATATGTGTGTGTACACAGCCACATCACGGCATGGGCGATTACACTTTCGCTAACAACGCTCCTTTAAATTTTACTCCTCCGCCATGTAGTTGCTCGCCAAAATAGGAAAAGAAACAACATTTTAAAAGAAAGCGCTGTGGTGATTCGGTTCCCATTGTTTCCCCCTGCGAGAGGGAGAAAAACAAAAAACCCCAAGAAAGGAAAAGAAAAGCCTCCATCTCACCTGGCCTGCGCCTCATCCAAACTCTGGTCTGTGATGGTCATAATTTGCTGTAAAATGTCTCCAATGTCCTGCTTCCTCCCGCCCTCCCCCTCGGTCCCTCCGGCCCCATCCTGCAAGTGCTGGGACAGGCCGGGGTGTCCGGCCATCCCGACCCCAGCATGGGAATGCATCAGCCTGGGCTGCTCGTCCATCTCCAAAGGCAACGGCAGCCCCCGGCTCTTCCTCTTCTGCTCCTCGGCTCGGCTCCTGGGAAGCACCAAGGCTTTTTATCCTTCAAGCTGTCTTCAAATCCTTTTCAGGATAAACAGGGAAGGGGGAAAAAAGACCAAAAGAAAAAAAAAATCCCTTTGCCTCTTTAGAGGATGGTGGGAGGATGGGGAGTGGGGAGGGGGAGGGGGGCGTGAAGGGGTTGCGGGGTGAGGGTGGGGATAAGGGCTGGTGGGGAAGGGTGTTGACTCCAAAAAGCAAGAAAAATAAACCACCTTCCCACTTGGCGAAAAGAAATCAGAGCTGGCTTTTGGTTTTTCAGTCCGGTCTCCTTTGCAAGGCAGAAATGGGCTCCCGTCGCTTAAATCTGTGGCTTAATCCTTTTGCAAATATGCATTGATCGGGAGAAAGAAGAGGAAGGCAGGGGGATTGCAATGCAAACTTTCCCCCCCACCCCCCGCTGCCCCCCACCCCCACTCCGGGCCAGAGTGATCTCAAAGGGGGTGGGCTGTTGCAAAAGCCAGATCTCCCCCAGCCGCGGCGGCAGGCAAAGCACAGGCTCTCTTCTCCTCCGTGTCTCTGCAAACTCCAGCAGCCCCGTCAGCCTCCTGCTTTTGTTTAGCTCAGGCTCAGGACTCCAGAAACATATACAGAAAAACCACAGCCTGAGAGGAGGAGGAGGAGGAGGAGGAGGAGGAGGAGGACGAGAAGGAGGTGAGGGGAGGGGGCAGAGAAAAGGGGGAGGGGGCGGGGAAGCAAGGGGGCGGGGGAGAGAAGGAGGGAGGAGGGTGCCCAGGGCCCCGCCCCCTTGTCCTGATTGGCCATCATCGAAAAGACGGGCCCCTCCTCCCCCTACTTTCCTCGCCGCGCCTCCTCTTCGGCCTCCTTCTGCTCCTCCTCGCCCGGCGCCCTGTCAATCAGAGTTCAGAGGTGGGCCGGGAAGGAGGCAGAGCTAATACCAAGTCTCCAGTCCTTAAAGGTGCAATGGTACCGTAGTTCCAGCTCGATTTGTCAGTTTCCACTTTTCTTTCCTCTCTCTCTCAGGTTCTGTCCTTGAGGGAAACGTGCCTCCACTTAAGTGCAAATGTATAAAATTAACACGAAAGAACGCAGTCCGATCTGGGTTGTCCCCGTTTTTCTTTTGCTGTAACATTGCCACTTAAAACTTGAGTCTTAAATCCTTAGAACTCGGAAATTGTTGAGAGCAGAAGTTTGTCAGCACCAAGTAGTTATGCAAACGAATGGAACTGTATAATTAATAATGATTGCTAATAAACAGCAGATATAATAATAGATAAAAACAACTGTCACAGTAAAGTTAAAAGGAATGCTGAACTGTGACATTTTCCTTGCATGAAAACTATGGACTATGAAACTAAATAATGCTGAAGAAAAGGAGATTAAGAAATAAGTTCACCAAATGAAACTAATTCAACATTTCTCTCCCTTCCCCCTGGGGGAAATTAGTTATTTGGCTTAAATACTTAATAAAGAAATGCATTATCACAGTCTGGTTCTAGTTTTTAATATAGTTTAATAAGCGTTATTAACTGGGAGAAGAAGAGAACTGACATTTATTGAATGCCTACTATGCACCAAGTAATTTACATACATTATCTTATTTAATCCCCAAGACATCTCTGTGAGTTATGGTTATTATTTCCATTTTACAGAGGGGGAACTCAGAAGGTTGAATAACTTGTCCAAGTTTCTACAGTTATTAAGTGTCAAAGCTGGAATTCAGACGCAAGCGTGGTTCTCGCCAACAGCATGTTTCCACTATAGAACCTGCCTCGATCTAATGGAAGTGTGAATAGTGTAAATATTAGTTACGTATGTATTGCCCCTTTTGTTTGAGAAGAGACGTAAGGTGCTTCCAAGACCAGAAACCCAACCAGTTGCTATAGAGTCCGACTCACGGCGACCCCGTGTGTTGCAAAGTAGAACTGCACTAGTCGGTGAAGTGCCTTTGCGTGTGTTTGAACCACCAGCCTTTTGGTTAGTAGTCGAGTCGTTAACCATTTGCGCCACCCAAGAACTCCGAGGATACTTATTTAAACGAGATGACCCAAATTGAAAATGGGTGGGAACGAATAAAGAAAAACAGGAATAAAATAGAATCAGGAAAAAAGGTAATAAACTCATAGTTAAAGTCCTATACACTAGCTCTAGGCGGACCACAAATTTGCCTCCAATCTTTTTATTAGGCAAGGCAGGCAAGAGAGGAAATGTGACTGGTTACACACCGTCATGATGTCCATGAGATAAACTGTAGCAGACCAATTACGCAGGAAAAGCCCAGCATATTTTGGAATAGAGAATATTCTGGTGTGTAGCCAGCCCTCTCTCTGGATGGCAGTATAGCCAAAGGAAATGCATTGAGTGACTGCAAACCTCAGTGATCCCAATCTGCAAAATGGAGGGCAATCTTGCCAGGTGCTTTGAAATCCCCAAGTAAAATGTTATTCTTTTCATCAGTCCAGCCTCCTTCCCAATCATTACGCAAAACAAGTTTGGCAAGATAAGGAGCACTTATGAAAGCGTTTCGAAGCAGTTCTTAACGAGCTGCTTGGCAATTCTTCCTATGAGGGCATGCAAAAGTGAGAATTAATTGTAATTACAATGTCCTATTACTTAATAACAACTGTTTTATTCACACACATACTCTGACTTGTAACCTGTTTGTTTTATCAACACTGATCAAAAGTTGAGCACTAAACTATATCCTCAAATTACATATCAGCGTGAGTTAGCATATCCCTTAGAGCAGTGGAAGTTATCACATCTTAAAGCATGAAACGAAATCAACCCAGAGCCTATAAGGAATCAGTTTGTGAGCAAGTAATTCTAACTTCAAGCCTAACAAAAGCTCAAAAGATAAAGTATTAGAAAAGGTACCGTAGGTACAAGAAGGTCATTGTCATATAGGAACATTTAGTAGGGAAATAAGAAGTGCACGCAACAATAATAGTTAACATTTATTGAGTACTTACTATTGTTAACTATTATATTCAAGGTTCGTTATTTATTTAATACCAACCGTCTGACCTCAATACCTATGCATTTAACCAAATACATTTCAGTATATATAATAAATGCTATAGAAGTGATACCACGGTCTAGAAACCCTATAAAGGATTAGAGAAGGAGGAAACTCTGTTAGGATAATAAGAAGTGGGCTTTGAAATGAGTCTGAAGGATGAGTTGGCTCTGGAGGACAGGGTTAAAGAATGTAACAGAAACACAGAGATTCTGTTGGGCTGCAATGGCAATGATATTTTAAAAAAAAACAAACAAAACCAAACTCGTTGCCATCAAGTCAATTCTGACTCATAGCAACCCTATAGGACAGAGTAGAACTGCCCCATAGGGTTTCCAAGGAGCAGATGGTAGATTCGAACTGCTGACCTTTTGGTTAGCAGACATAGCTCTTAACCACTATGCCAGGAGGGTTTCCAGCAATGATATTAGAAAGGCCTTATTGTGAAAACCTTGAACAGCAGAGTCTGTGCTTTATTTGGTGGACACTGGAGAGCCATTGAGGTTGTTTGTTTACTTTATTTTGTTTCAGGAAGAATTTTCTGGTTGTCCAATACAAAATGGTTTGGGAAGGGAAAATGAAATAGGCCTGAATTAGGATGGTGGCAGTGTAAGTGGAAAGGAGAACACATTATGAGGACTATTTTCAAGGTAGAGCCAGTAAAACTGAATAATTGATTTTATGTGGATGGGAAGAATAAAGGAATTGTTTCTGACCTTGGCTGAGAAGAATGAGGTGGCACTAACAGAATAATAATTATAGTTACAGGCACAATTTGTTGAGTGCTGATTAGGTGTCAGGCATTGTATGCACATTAGCACTTAATTTTAACAACTTCTCTATGAGTTTACAATCTCCATTTTGCAGATGAAAAAACCAAGGTCCTGGAAGTTGAATTACTTGACAAACTATGGATGTAAAAATGCTCTTATTTTTAATACATTACACAGAATTAAGGAGGTCAAAAGAAGAAGCTACCATAGGTAAAATAGAATGAAAACCAGGATCTTCTTCTGTTTATATTAAGAGACTCATAAAAGTAAGGTCCAAGGAGAAACTTACACATGGAATTTCCATACTTTATGGGTTGTCTCTAGGGATGGATAATGCTTTTTGCACTTTCCATATCTCAGCAGTGCATTCATTGTCGTAGATGTTTAACAAATACATGCTAAAAGAATGAACGGTGCCCATACTCATGCTGTAGTTCTTCAGGCTAGTAACTGAAGCCCACTGAATCATGTTTTAAAGACAAGAGTCATTATCAAAACTTGGCCAACTAGCAAAGTAGTTCTCAATCTGACCTTATTCTACTATGTCTACAAAGTCATCTTATCATGTTTACCTGTATGTCGAGTGTCTAGTTTACTCTGAGGATTCTTTTTCAAACTTCATTAAAAGCCCACTCATATACATCCTTATCTTCATTAAAGGACAAAGTGGAGGATGCAAGGGGAATGTACAAGGATCCTACTCCATTCCTCAGTGAACAAATCGGTTGCAAGGAGATGGGTCTCCCTAACATACTCACAGAAATAAATTCACTACCACACGGTCTTATATCATTTAGGCAGACATTCTTCTGTGCATCTTCATGATTGTATTTTAATTGGCCTCTAGGTTTCTGTAACTCCTGTATTTAAATGTGGGAAAAGAAAGTCTCCTCGTCCCTAGAGAGCCAGAACCAGGCCTAGTAACAAAAGATAGTACCTGAAGGAGTGGATGGCATCTACTTCTTTGCCCAAGATCCCTGTCTTTCTATTTCAGTTTTTCTCTTACCCTTTTCTCCTTGCTTTTCTTCCACTTTTCCACTCTGTCTTCCTTTTCTTCTGTCCAGCCTTCTGTGTCCTGCTCGCAGAGATCTGCCCCTCCACCAACTCTCGTTCCTCTTTCCTTGCCTCATTAGGCAGAACCTCACTGTGTCCCAAAAAAAGATATGTTAAAGTTCCAACCCCTACTACCTGTGAATGTGACCGTGCTGGGAAATAGGATCTCTGATGAGGTTATCAATTAAATTAACATGAGGTCATACTGGAGTCGAGCAGGTCCTAAGCCATTGTGGGTGGTGTCCTTGTTAAAGAGAACAAAAGGCACAGAGAGACAAAGAGGGAAGATGGTCATGTCACAACAGAGGCAGAGATTGAAGCTGCAAGCCAAGGATCACTGGCCATCACTACCCATCTACTACCATTGAGTTGATTCTGACTCATAGCAACCCCATAGCGTTTCCAAGGCTGCAAATCTCCATGGAAGCAGGCTGCCACGTCTTTCTCCCACAGAGCCACTGGTGGTTCCGAACTGCCAACCTTTCAGTTAGCAGTCAATCACTTTAACCACTGCGCCACCAGGGCTCCTTCACCACCAGGGCCATAACTAGAGGCTAGGAAAC